CTTGGCCTGAACATCTGGGACCAGGGGTTACGAGCCTCAGCGTCCCGTCCCCCGACGGAACCTGGTCCCTCCCAGCTCTGCGCATGGCCCTCCATGGCTGGTACTCAATTCCTCCGGGCATCAATCCCGTGCCCTAAAGGCGGAGAATGGTTCCAATCTTAACGCAGCTCCTAAGCGCTGCTCTGAGCCGGTGCCAGGCGTGGGCAAAGACTCAGTTGCTGTGGCTGTTATGGTTGTAACTTCGGCTTTGCCTGGAGCTCGCCTGCTCCTTTGGGGGAGAGGGCAGCTGGGGCTGGGCTGGGGCTGGGCTGGGGTGTGTGGTGCCTGGATGCCCTTCCCAGAGGCTCCCCAAGTCGCGAGCTCATTATCCTACATGCATATTCATAAGGGATGGCCTCAGCTCTGCTCTGTAAATGGGTCAGAAGCAGGAAGTGGAGGCCAGTGCAGAGAGGAGCCCAGGACAGGAGTGCAGAGCCAGAGCACGTCAGAGACCTCATGGATGGGAGGATGGTGAGAGGGGACTGGGGGCACTGGGGCCTGGGCTGGGGTCTGCCCTGCGTGGCAGATTTGAAGACTGAGGCCTACCAAGCTCAGACTAGAGAACTCTTGGGTGAGTGCCTGAGAAGCCTCTGGAGAACAGAGAGCTGAGAGTCCACCTGAGCTGGGCGGTGGCCCTGGGGCGAGGTGGCCCCTGCCTTCTCTCTCAATGGACACAGCTTACAGGTCACTGGCGGAGGAGCGGGCTCCTGAATCGCAGCTGCAGGGGCTCCGAGGGGCTGGCTGACTGGCCCAGCTGAGGGTGGCTATTGCTTTGGGTGTGAGAGTTACAGTGCCTCGTGCAGGAAGCTCAGGCCGGGAGGAGGGCTGCCGGGTGGCCAGGGTCCCAAGACATGAAGGTGTTTGTCCACGTCCTCACCTCGCCTCCTCAGTAGTCCCCTGAGGTAGCCAGAGCAGAGATGGCTGTCTCCCTTTTACAGATGAGAAGCGTGAGGCTGAGAGAGGACCAATCGCCCGGACGAAGCTACCCAGTGAGTGACCCACAGCGCGGGCTGGCCTCCCCGGGGTAGGGGCCAGTGGCTGGCAGCACCCCGCACTGTTCTGGAAAACTTGGATCTGCAGGGCAGTCTCTCTGCCCGGGGCAATGAAAACGCCCTCCTCTCAGAAGGCCACCTGCTTTTTCTTTTTTTTTTTTTTTTTTTGAGAGATTTTCACTGTAGGGCGCGTGCGCTCGCCAGACAGACAGAGAGAGACATAGAGACAGAAAGCGAGAAATCACCCCCCAGGGGGGATGGTCATGCCGCAATCCCTTCTCCTCCATTCTCCTCTCGGGATCTTGGGCACGCACGCACACGCGCCCGGCGTGAGTTCTAAGCCACCGGGTCCGGGACACGAACCGCGGTCGACTACGTGGGAGTCCAGCGACATAGCCATTAAGCTAACTGCTGGTTCCCATGGGCCACCTGCTTTTCACCGGCTTCCGCAGGGAGGCTCACGGTGTCCTGTGAGGCTGGCCCGAGTCACCTCCCTAGCTGGGGGATGAAGACACAGGCCACTGGGCCCCACCCGGGACGTGTGCACGGCCCTGGCAGAGTAAGAATTCTCAGTCTTGGGCACCTTCTACTGTCCCAGGTCATGGAAAGGGTAGGGGTGTGGGATGGGAAGCTCAGTCCTTGGGGCAGAAGTGTCAAGGGAGCTGGCCCGGGACGGGAGGCCGCGAGAAGGGCTCACTCAGAGCAGTGTGCTGGCATCTCAGGCGACCGTGGAGGCGGGTTTTAGATCACACCGTAAGCCCAGCAGCACGGGGAATCGGCTTGTGGTGAGTTCAGGCACTCACTCGCAGGTTTTTATGACTACTGCGGCCCTGCTCCGGGCCAGGCCATGCTGCACCCAGGGCGGGGAGGGGCAGCAGAGGTCAGCAGGCCTCGGGTGGCCAGCGTCTCCTCAGGACCAGGCCAGGGAAGCATGGGAGTATTCCTGGACAGGAAAGGATGCAGGCCCTGTCATCTCCACTTCCGAGACGGGGCAGGGGTCTGAGGTCATTTGACGCAGACACATCACTCTCCTTCGAGCCTCAGTTTCCTCATCTGTGAATTGCGGTGGGGAATTATTATTATTATTATTATTAGAGAGATTTTTGCTATAGGGTGTGTGTGCTCGCTGAAGAAAGAGAGACAGAGAGAGAAAGTGAGAAATTCGCCCCCAGGAGGGATGGCCATGCCACTGTCCCTTCTCCATTGTCCTCCTGGGATTTTGGGCATGCACATGCACCTGGTGCGAGTTTTAAGCATCCAGGTCCAGGACTCAAACCACAGTTGGCCATATGGGGTCCAGTGCCTTAACCACTACACCATTTCCTAGGGTGGGGAACTATTTTTAATCACCAAAGGATGCGTGTGCTCGCCAGTGAGAGACAGACAGGGAGTGGGAGAGAGTGCCCCCAAAGGGACGTGGTCATGCCACAATTCCATCTCCATCTCCCTGTCCTGCTGGGATTTGGGGCATACACGTACGTGCCCGGGTGTTTTCCAACCTTTGTAGCTGGGGTTCAAACCATAGCCGGCCATGTGAGGTCCAGGCTGGGGTGGGCATTACTGCACTTCAGGGGTGGGGCTGCAGAGGGGCTGTGTGGAGGAGAAGCCTGGCACGGCAGAGCTTTGTGGTAACTGGGCATTTGCCAGGCTATGACAGAGGCCCCGTTTACTTGGGAGCAGGAAGCGGCCGACACCCATCCCTAATGGGCCGAGCAGGGGTGGGGTGTGGCTGTGGTTCTGTTCACCAGGGAGGTCGGACCTGCAAGGCTTTGCAGGGGAAGAGGGATGAGAAGAACCTTCTGGAGGAGGAGGGAAAGTGCAGGGGGGTGGTGGGGGAACGTCTGGGCACAGTTAATGGGCAGCCCTGCGCCCTGTGAGTCAGGCAGGGATGCAGTCAGGCTGGCTCTGGCCCCGGGCAGCTCTGAGGCCACACCTACTTCCTCGTCATACCTGCAGGCCCTCCGTGGAAGGCCAGCTGGTGGTAATTAAAGCCCTGCCTCTGGGGCGCCCACCACCGGGCCATCTGTCAGATCTGTCAGAATGTGACCCACTCCGCCTTCTGACCTGCTTCCCTAGGGGCCAGGCACCCTCAGGCAGCCCTGAGCCACGCAGCAGGGGCGGCTGTGGGGAGCTTGTGGCCCCAGATGGCCCAGGCGTCTGCAGAGGGGGAGAGCAGGTGGCTGGGAACTTAGACTAACCCGAGAACTCACTGCCACCAGCTACTTCGCGAGGGGTAGGGACCTCAGTTTACAGGTGGGGAAACAGGCGCAGAGAGGGGCCATGACTTACCCACTTTTTTTTCTTTTTCTTTTCTTTTTTAGTATTTTGTCATGGGGCGTATGCTTACTGGAGGGGAGGGAGGAAGAGAGAGAGAGAGAGACCCCTGGGGGATATGGCCACTCCCCAACCCCTTCCCCTTCTTTCTCCTCCTGGGATTTTGGGATTGGGGGCGCACGCACAGCACCCTGGTCCGGTCGGGACTGGCCGCCCGCGTTCCGTACCCCGAGCGGGGCTCCGCGCGAGGCCGGGGAGGCCGCGCCGTCTCTCCATTCTGCTCCCAGTGGCGACTGTGACCTGAGGTCGCTCTGCGGTCTCGCCACGACTCAGCCCAGGTCTCGACTGTTTCCAAACCCTCGCTTTGGACCAGGACACGAGCCTGGGCGGGGGGCGGGTCGGGCCCGTGGGGCACCTGGCTCAGGTGGGTCGGGAGCCCGGGCGCA